AGGCGGACTGCGGCTCACAGCCACTGCAGCAAGACAAACAGAGCTATGGCCCTGAGGACTGTAAAACAAATTGTAGAACAATCCGTTTCAAACAGAAAACAGAACCCAACTTTCATCGTCAACGCCACCATAGCTAAAACACCTCAGCACTAGTGGTGCCCCTCGACCGGTTTCGCCCGTGCCACTTCACGAGACTCGTCAGGAGGGTAAACTCAACACGAGTTCATGTGCCGAAAGAGGGAGCTAGAGCCTTGCTCCCTCGCATAAGTAGTGATCCTAGCAGCCTCATACCTTCCAAGTGTCGTGTGACGTTATCCGTCAAACCCGCGCCAAGATTGAAAGATAGTACTTCGAAAAACTAGCCGGTCTAACAGGTCGGTCCCGAGGGTGTGGACGCTCCGTGTTTTCCTAGGTGCAGATCTATACCCTGTACCCGGCATGCCTATAGGTCCGGTACATTCAATATGTAGTCACTCCCAGTCCCCGAATTAATTACGTACGCATCCGRCTTGCCTAGTGGTCCGGTGCATCCTCAAAACAAAATAAAATATCCAAGTGGTTTTTTTCCCATACCGTAATGACTACCAGATGGAAGGTCTTAACTAACTACTCTACCGTACCACACGTGGTCGACTTAGAACCATCCAGAAAACCACACCGCCGAAGTAAAGCAGAAATAGAAATAGACGAACAACGCAAACGAAAGGGGTGAAAACGAAAATGGAGAATCGCCCACCAGAGTGAAAAACAAAAATAAAACGTAAAAAATAAAAAATACAATAAAATATGGGCCGAAAACGAGTTCCAACCTGCTTGGCTTCGAGTCAGCTCCAGAATGGGGGCCCCCACAGGCCTACAACCGTGAAGTCTGTCGGTGCCATCCTGGTGCCCCCCTCTCTCTCTCCCGGAAACAGAAGGAAAACAGTCGCAGCAGCTTGAACAGGAGTCGGTCATCCGCAGCCTTGGTCAAACTGGCCAGGGCACCGAGAGAGACCTCCGGGGGGTAGCCCCGGAGGCCGGCTTCAAAAATAGCTGAAGTAATTGCTCCCATAACAAGTGGTTTGCTTGTGGTCTGATTCCACAGTCTGCTGATGGTGGCTGTCAGTACCGCCTTCTTGACGCTTTTCCCGGAGTAGGAAGAAAAATCCTGCATAGTTTGGAACACAGGTTGATAGTTTTCCGCCAGGTAGTCTGTGTTCTTCGTATGTGGGACGTAGTGCAGGCGGAGGGGCTCGTTACAGATGAACATCGTCCCTCCCACAAAAGACCACGTGAGTCCGCAGTCATCTTTGCGGATAACTTCCAAATGGGAGTCGTAGATGCCCTCGAACCTGTCGAACAGGTTCGCTGGATATCCATCATCCCGAATAGTGTCGTCAACGCCGGCTATGACCGATATGTCATCCATGATACGCCATCCACAAACCAATCGACGGTCGGAGCCCAAGCTGTTAAGGAAACGCAGCTCCGCCATTGCACACGTAATGGATGCTAGGACCGGGCTCGTGGATTTCCCCATCGGGATTCCAAAAACCTGTCTCAGGATCTTGTTCCAGCATCTCACGGCTGAGTGTTCCAAGTCAAAACGGACTCCCTTCAATAGATCACGGAACTTCGCAGTGACGTAGCCTTCACTCTTCCTCTTACACTTGCTGATAACACAGGCTCTGGCCCTATAGGAGATCTTCACCGTTTTCCAACCGGCGTCTTCAAATCTGACCAGGAGTTGCTCCACCGCTTGCAGAACTGCTCCATGCGGTATCCGGGAGAACATCTCCTTGATATCATAGCATCTACCCACTGCCTTTGAACAACCCAGACTTCTGAGCCTATGAGTGGCGGCCTGCATTCGCTCCCCCTGATCAGACACCGAGTTCAGGTAAAACGAAGAATGTGCCGGAAGCCGAGTGAGCAGGTAGTGGAGCGCTTTCGCCACCCTCTTTTGTGCGACTGCAGCAGGATCAGAAGGTGCGGATGCAATCGGTCTCCACTTCTCCCGATCCTTATGCTTGGGGATCACATAAGCTGATCCCAGTCTGCCGTCAGGACGCCAAGGTCCGAATTCCCGCAGTCCGGTCGCCTTGAAGTCTTCCCGGCATTTGGCCAGATACCTCATCTCGATGTCGACAGGTCCGATCTTCTCGTAGTTCGTGTTCCAAATGAACGTCCTCCCGAATGCGTGTCTGTAGATCACCGGGCAGATAATTGCCGTGTCCCCTTGGTTTCGGTTGACTGGGGTTAATACCAGTCCGTCGAACTTCATACTCCACTCCCTCACGTCATCGTCCGTCCAAGCGAGGGCCTGATGCCTTCTTCCGTCGAGTGTCTCCAAAGGCATATGCAGGTCCGTGGTGTGGCCTTTCAGGTGCTTCGTAGCGTCCAAGACCGCTTGGAGGATCACCCGGGGATGCGCAACCTGCCCATGCCTCGTAATGTTCCTTGAGTTGCGCGGGAACACGGGGACGTCCGGTAACGCTTAGAATCTCGTAATCACGTGCACGTCGCACTTGGGTAGATTGCGTGTCCGACAGCTGCAGCTACGGTCTTCGTCCGAAGCAAATCTCTTATGATTATGGATAAGTTCACCCACAGTCCTGCTACGAGTCCAAACAATGCGTACCCTGGTTTCCAGAAAGTCGGCCACCGCCTTATCCTCCACCTTCTTCTCGATCACCTCCTCTACAGTCCTTCGTACAACATTCCTCCTGATGCGTGAATCGTAACGCAACTTTACGTAGATCTTCTTCCTCACACTGATACCGGTTTTCATCCTAACCGCCCTGTCGATCTTCATCCGAAGCAGCGACTTAGTTTTCTTATCAGAGAACCAGCTGGCTGCTTTGTAGAGGCCCACAAGCTTATTGGAGGTTAGATTAGCTAGTTGAGAGACCGGTCTGGGTCTCCGTAGTAGACCTGCCACGAACCGTTTGTTCTTCTCGGTGGTCGTTTTCGTCTTCACAATGCTAACAAAACTCGTCGTCGCACCTGATTGTAACACTAACTTAGATTCCCTGAGAAAACGTAGTGCGCCCCCTACCCTCAACTGCGTGTCTCCATATACCCTGACCAGGCGTTTCCAACCATCTACCCATACTTCACCGCGAGTAAATGTCAGCTCGCTGCGTGCCCCTACCTCCACGTTGTTATTCCTGAGCCAGGTAAGCAGAGATCTGAACCGGGAGCCCTGGTACAGAAACGTGACAGTCTTAGCAATGTTCGCCCTCCGAGCTCTGCCTATCCTCTCCCTGCGTCCTTTTCTGCCTTTGCTCCGCTTACCTCTTGCCTGCCAGTTAGTATCCCGAGTGTTGAGACTCGGGCAGAAATCTATGATCAGAAATTTCTCAAAAGCAAGATTGTCTTCTTTACCCGTATGTCTAATCGGAAGTATCACATATCTATCTGTACCGAATGCCCGCATCCATCTGTATAGATGCGGGGTCAAACCCAGGGCGTTGCAGCGTGYWTTCCTGCAGTGTTCTSTCCATCTTTGGATAATMGKTCTAACTGTGYAACCGACATATGCCTTSCTCGTCCAAKGACTTACTACCGCATATACGCCTGCCGAATCRAGATCAAGTWCTCCTTYGGCAGCCTCGATCCTCATGACATACTTCTCAAGCCATGGTATCWGGCCTCTGCAGGTCAGAAGTAGCGTGGTCGTAGTGATCACGCTTCCGACTTTCTTGGAAATGTCACTGCCCGCGTTGAGCTCCCGCAACGTCTCTCGAGACTTCAGCCATCTGGCCAGAGTTTCCCAAAGCTCGGCGTTTGAGGGAGCTCAACACCGTCAGTTCGAGTCCTCAGCAGGTTGTGTGGGAGCAGAACGAAGGATGATGCGTGGTTGGCGTGTGGTGGTCTGCTCGTGTACTATCTTGTCTTTTTTAACTTCAGCCTTCGGAGTCTCGCAAGTTGGTGCCTTACCCTTCTTCGTCGCGCTTCCTTCTTCTCCTTTCTCATCGAACCCTTCATATGCGAGTTCGACCTACTGCCTTGTAAGGAGCTCGACTACTTCCGGTTTCTTAGCGTACTTAATGCCCTTCTTGTCGCATATCTTTTGAAGGGTTGGTGCGCTTTTCTCTGAGTAGATCTTGTGCGCCGAGATGCAGTACTCGACAAGGCCTTTCTGCGAACAGCTAGCCGAAAGCCCCTTGAAACCACCAGTAAGCGGAGTCCTAGGATCCTCGTTGCGCTGACCGCCCTCAGTCTCCTGAGGCTGTTCCTCATGATTCGAGTCGCGTAGTGTAGCGGCTCCATGCTTCGAGCACTCCCCTCGCTCGAACCTCGGAGTGAGATTGACTGGAGACACCGCATTCCTTCCCTTCGGCTTCGCGGTTCTGGCCTTCGTCCCCCTCCTCTTCATGTCCTTTCCTTCGTGCTTCTTCCCCTTCACGACTAGGTTACCGGAGTCGGAAGTGCTATCCGAACTGTCGTTAGATGTACTCGACTCCGAAGAAGAAGAAGAAGAAGAGGAAGGGCTGGAATCCGAGTATCGTTTCCGTCTTGATTTCTTGCTCTTCCGCCGGCTTTTCTTCATGTTCCGATTCTTCCCCTTCGCAAGTCTTCCTAATCCAAGATTCTTCACAGCCTCCTCAGCCTCTAGATTCTTCTTCTTCCATTCTTCGTTCAGGTCCATTCGTAGTTGCAGTTTGAGATCCTCCATTTTCCTAGCGGACTTGGTTTCTACGAACCTCCTCTTCCTCCCTTGCCTTCCGCTCTTCCTCTGCCTTACGCCGCTCTTCTTGCTCCTGTTTCTCCCTGCGTAGCATCCTGTGATGCTCCTTAATCTCTTCTAGTTCGGGGTCTACCTGAGCTTGGCTCTGCTGATATGGTCGGCCTCTCCTCGCCCAGCAGTCCCTGGCATAGTGCCCCACCTTCCCGCAGTTGTAGCATGCGTTCAGTGGTGCGTTGACGTCGCTGCCGCCGTTGCCCGCTCCATATCCCCCCGTATTCATCTGATCACCTTGCGGGATCAAAGCTCCACCGCCACCGCTATTATTGCCTCCTCCGTAACTACCCCCGTTGCCCCCTCCAGCCCCGTTGGCCAAAATCATATTGGCTGTATTTGCCCAGACCGTGCACTAGAAATGAGGGAAAGAAAAGGGACAGAAGCGAAAAAGGGAGCAGTCGAAATAGCGAAGGTCGACTGTAGTCTCCGCTAAGTCAGAGATCGCCAAGCGTTCAGCATCGTAAAAGCGGGAGAAGAGTGTGTCCTACTGCCTCCAAATCTCGGAAAACTCCTCGTAATTCAGATCTCCTCTCTTTCGGATTCTAAGAATCGTCCTTTCGATCAAGATCAGCATATGCAGCAGCTGCTCATAGATCCTATCTCGAATAGTTGCGTTCTCCACTTATCTTGTCATGTAGAACATAGGCCTAAGTGTAGTACGAACATAACTATTCAGACGTCGGATCAGACGAGTCCTAATAGGTATATAGCGTGTTCTTACAACTACACGTCTTTGCCTGCAGGTCAAACAACGGGTGGGACCACGGCCCGTCATACTAGTGCGTGGTCTCACCAGGCAGTGCCGATCTTGATCAGTCCAAGTCCCACGACCATAAGTCCCAGACCAAAGAATAGCACTTTCGCCGTATGTCGCAGATTCAACATCCCGACCTCCCAGGATACTGAGTCGAACTAGCTGCTCGGCCACCGCCCTGAATCGCTCCCGCCGTCGTGTGTATCTCCCGCTCGCCACTCACCAACCACTTTGCGCTTGTGAAGGGTAGTCGTTGAGCATGGTACTTGTGCAGAGTACTTGTGCAGAGTATTTGTGTAGAGCACTTGTGCACAGTACATGTGCAGAGCGCTTGTACATGTGCATATGCATGTGCCTGTGCATGTGCATGTGCCCGTGCATGTGCCTGTGCATGTGCCTGTCGACGTAGTCACCACCTAGCAGATGCGGCTACTGGTTCCTACGCACCCTCGAGTAGGCGGACTGCGGCTCACAGCCCCTGCAGCGAGACAAACAGAGCTATGGCCCTGAGGACTGTAAAACAAATTGCAGAACAATCCGTTTCAAACAGAAAACAGAACCCAACTTCCATCTTCAACGCCACCATAGCTAAAACACCTCAGCACTAGTGGTGCCCCTCGACCGGTTTCGCCCGTGCCACTTCACGAGACTCGTCAGGAGGGTAAACTCAACACGAGTTCATGTGCCGAAAGAGGGAGCTAGAGCCTTGCTCCCTCGCATAAGTAGTGATCCTAGCAGCCTCATACCTTCCAAGTGCCGTGTGACGTTATCCGTCAAACCAGCGCCAAGATTGAAAGATAGTAATTCGAAAAACTAGCCGGTCTAACAGGTCGATCCCGAGGGTGTGGACGCTCTGTGTTTTCCTATGCGCAGATCTATACTCTGTACCCGGCATGCCTATTGGTCCGGTACATTCAATATGTAGTCACTCCCAGTCCCCGAATTAATTACGTACGCATCCGGCTTGCCTAGTGGTCCGGTGCATCCTCAAAACAAAATAAAATATCCAAGTGGTTTTTTTCCCATACCGTAATGACTACCAGATGGAAGGTCTTAAC